AGCATGGCTTTGTTCCAATAAAACTTTATTTACAAAAACAAGCAGTGGGCCAAATCTGGTCTGTGGACCAGATTGTAGATCCCAAACACAGATACATATACCCATGTATCTGCCAGGGGTAATATGGATTGAAATGGAAACCACCTAAATATCTCTCCAAAGTGGGCTAGCTGAATAATTTATAATAAACCTGCATTCCAGAAATCAGAGTAACTATTAAAAAGAATAGGTTGGATCCTGTGTGTTATATGGAAAGACATTCATGACAGATTTCTTTTTTCAAATATCTTATTATGAAAATTTAAAAATATACAGAAAATTTAAACAAAATTTATAATGAGCACCTGAATGCCCACCATGTAGATTCTACCATCAATACTTTACAGCACATATTTTTATCATCTATCTATCCACTGTCCCTGATAGATTATTAAGGGAGAAAAATGAGGCATAAAAATGTACAATATTAATTCCATTTTAGTAAAAGGCTGCACCACGTGTATGTATGGTTGTGAAATCTAGACAAAAGTGTCAAAAGAGATACCTAAACTCTTACTATAGGTCCCATGAGGGCTAGGATTGTAAGAAGAGGAAGAAAGGATTATTTTATTTCTCTGCTCACTTCTAATGTTGAATTAGTTGTGAAAATTATAAAAGCCTTAAAAAGAAAATTTTAAAACATTTCTTTAGCAATAGTGGAACAATCTAGTCCAGCCTTTGACATTCCAGAAAGGGAAATTGAGTCAGAACCAGGGTGTTGAGGAGATGGGCCCGTTCCCTGAGCCCCACCTGAGCATCTTACTCAGCCCTGCCCTGTGCACAGGCGTGTGCATGCACACACAGGAACAACTAGGTCCCTGCGTGTCCTTGTGTGTGCATACACTTAACTTGCCCCTGCCCCCACATCGTGTTGGTGCCCACCTCCATCTTCTCAGGAGCTGGGGTCGTCAGTGTACCTGCTGGGTTCTCTGTCACCACTGACGGCCCCTCCTGAGGAGGGTTCTGGGCACCTGGAGGAGGTGCAGGACCACCCTCCTGGTTCCTGCTTCTCACACAGACACCTCTGTCCTCCAGGGTCCAATCAACACTCCTTCCCAACTTCAGGCCCCACTTGCATTCAGCCTCTTCCAGAAAGATCTAGCTCCCTCCTCCTTTTAGCATTCTTTTCATTCAACAAACATTCATGGAGGCTTATTCCAGGCTAGATGCCACCCAGGAGCTCCCAGGCACACGTGTGGCGGCTGCAAGGCACACAGGGGGCACCAGAGCCATTGGGTTGGGGGGGCTGCCATCCTGGAGGAGGCAATATCAGAGCCACAGAGGGGAAGGGAGGGCAACGTGTGCCTGGTGGGTTTGAGTGGTGGCTACTGTCAGGGAAGAAGTTGGTAAGAAGGGCCTCTGGGAGTGTGGGGGGATAGAGGGGTGGCAGGGGTCACAGGTCAGGGAAATGTCCTTTCCCAATTGTGCAGGGTAATTTGTGTAGCCAAGCGCCCCCAGCAAGGAGTTGTTGAGAGGGGTTCTGTTCCCACCTCCCACCGCCTCTGGCCCCTTCTGCCCAGTGGGGCAGGAATGGGGGTGGGCACTGATGGTAATCTCCCTCCTCCCTGTCCCCTCTGGTCCTCCTCATAGTCTCCCTTTCAGTGAGCCTTCGGGTATTGTTCCACCTTTGTAAAGAGTGGGATCGAGTGACAAAGCCGGGTGGGTGGGCAGGCAGCCGAGAGGCCCCTTCTCTCCCAGGCAGCACCTGCATGGGAGAGGGGCTGTCCCCCGCCACCTCTGGCTTCCCAGGAGCAGCTGTTGCCATGGTGACAGGCCTGGCATCCCACAGCTCCTGGGGCACCCTCCCCCCTATAGCTGACAGACAGGAAAGGCCCTGGGACGCCTCTCCATCTTGGTGGGGAGTCAGGGCACAAAAACCCTGGCTCCCAAGCCAGCCCTCACAGGGGAAAGCCTCTACCACTCCCAGCCAACCCTCCGGTTGCCAGCAGAAGGGGCAGCTCCGGATGCCCTGCCTCCTACAGCCACCTTACATGGGGGTTGGGAGGCAGGGCCACACTCCACAATCATGCATGCACCTAGGCCTCCTTGGGGCAAGAAACAGACAGAAATAAAACGTCCCCGTGGTCCTTGAGCAGCTGCTGGTATTGAGGCAGGGGCACAGATGGAGAGCTAAGAATGTGTGACTGCACAGGGGACAGCGGGTGGGTGAGGACCCTGGGCCCCCAGAACAAAGCCTCCAGCCCCATCCAGGAGAGTTGGGGGAACTGCCCATAGGAGGTGATGCTGGAAGCTATTGTGCCACACAGAGCAGAAGAGGAGGGCCTGTGTCCTGGGCAGATTTGGAGGTGTGACACATGTGGCACTGAGGCTTCCAAGGATGTGTGGTGGCAGGACATAAAGAGATGGGCGTGGGGCTGTGGCTTAGGGACTTCTGCTGCCCTTGCAGAAGCATGAGCTTCACCCTGGATAAGGGAAGCTGCCACTGGCATTTGGGGAAGCTCCATTATCCTTGACCAGGCGATCAAAGCCAGGACCTTTCTTCAAAGGGACACTACTCCTGCGCTACCTCCTTGGGAAGTGCAGCCTCACGTCTCACGGCTCTGGTGGGCTGAGTGTGTGCTATGTGGCAGCACAGCACCGGCTGCACTTCCATAGATGCCCCATCTCTCAGTCCTCTTGGAGAGCCAGAGGCTGATGTACACCCAAGACAGAGCATCTCCCTTTCTTCCTCCCATCCCCGTTCCAGCACAGCAATAAGGGGAGGTGGGCACAAATTACAGCAGCTGTGTTGGTGCCTTCCAACGTGGCTACCAAGTGCCAGGTGATGTGGGCTGAGCTGGGCCAGCCGGGCAGGAGCCCTTCTGCTGGTGGTGACAGGGGTGGGGGCCTGAGCACCCACACTGACTTTGTGAGCTGTGTGATCCCAAGCAAATAGCTTGAGTTTTCTGAGCCTCAATTTCTTGTCTGTAAAATGGTGAAAGAATTCCTTGCAGGACTTTTGTGAGGGTTAACAAGGTCACTGTGTAAAATGCCTGGCCCAGGGCCCACTGGCCCACAGCAGGTCCCTGATTAATCTCTCAGCCCTCCCAGTGCAGGCCTCCATTAGGCATCCCAGAAGCTGCAGGGGGTCAGGCCTATGTTTGGCCCTCATTCAGAGTCTGAGTCTGAGTCTTCCAGGTAACCCTAGGCCAAGGGGTGAGGGGAAATGGAGCAGGAATTGGGGAAGGCAGCCCCCAGGGGAGTCCCAGACCTTGGGTGGCCTGCTAGCTGGCAGCCGGGTTTCACCCCCAGAGTTACCTGGGAACCATGGTGGGAACCTGGCTGGACAGAGGTGGGAGGGCCAAGGGGACTCCAGGCAGCCCCCTATAACCCCAGACCCTCAGAAATGCCTTCCCAACCTGGGGGCCTGTGCGCACTCAGGAGTTGCAGTGTCAGACCTCACTCACTCAGTGTCGTCTGTCACCAGCAGGTGAAGTCAGATCCTTAGGGGCTCACAGTTACCGCGCAGTGCCTTGGTACATGGGGAAGGACAGTGCCTGCCACCTCCCACTGGGACTAAGAACCCAGCATCATCCTGATGGCTCTTGGGAATGGGGTGAACTCCTAAGAAATGCCACAGGATGTCACTGTACGTCACGCTTCTGCTCTGCAGGCACAGGAGGGAGAATGGGGCTTTCCGGGGGGCCTGGCTGGGTGGTGGGGGTATGGACAGCATAGCGAGCTGCAGGCTCCCTGGGCAGAGATGAATTCACAGGGAAAGCCCTGTGTCAAGGGAGCTCAGACAGAGGAGGGGAGGGGGGCAAGGGAAACTGCTAAACTCGAGTCCTCCAGTTGAATACCATATGATTTCACTTAGGTGTGGAACCTAAAAAACAAACAAAACAAAACTCATAGATACAGAGAACAGGCTGGTAGTTACCAGAGGCAGGGTGTGGTGGATGGGGTGAATTGGTGAAAGGAGTCAAGAGATGCAAACTTACAGTCATAAAATAAGTCCTGGGGATGTGATGTACATAAAGCATGGTGATTACAGTCAATAAGAGTGTATTGGGTATTTGAAAGCTGCTAAGAAAGCAAATCTTGGAAGTTCTCATCACAAGGAAAAAGTGTCTGTGTGATGACAGACAGTAACTATTGTGATCATTTTGCCCTGTATGCAAGTATCTAATCATGTCGTACACCTGGAAGTAATATAATGTTCTATGTCAGTTATACTTAATTAAAAAAACAAGTCTTTCAATTCTGTGGGAACAGTTTCTAAGTGGGTCCCAGAGGTGTCATGGGGACACCCTAGAGAGCAGAGCATCCGGGCTAATAGGGTGACAACAGCTCTCTTGAGGGGAACACAACAACTTTGTGAAATGAGAATGGGGTCTGGGGTCAGACAATCGCAGGTGGAACACTTGATGACTCTGTGCCTTGGATATGGCATTCCTCCCGGGGCCTCAGTTTCCCCAGCTGGGTTTCTGGATTGCGGAGAAGAGACAATCAGATAGAGTGTACAACGTGACTGATAAGCAGCACGTGTGTAGCAAATGAATTGTCCATTTTTACAGGATTACCTGCATGTTTTACAGAACAGGAAACTGAGCTTAAAGGGAAGAGACCAAAGTCACATTCAACTAGTGAGGAGGCAGAGGATGCAAGGCTGAGGCGTCCCACGCGTGGGAGCCTTGAAAATGTGGTGCCTGACTGGGGTAAGAAGAGGCGACCCGATAGGGGGACCGTGGGGAGAAGACGCTTCCGGCTGATTGTCCGGTCGTGGGAGAGGTAGGGCAGCAAAGGAAGGGGAAGAACCGAAGGTGCGCGGGCAGACGGAGTCGCACCTGCATCGGGCACAGCTCGACTGAACTCCAGCGGGCACGGGCTCGCAGCTGTGAGACGCGGCTCTTTTAAAGCCCGGTGGGGGCGTGCTCGGCGCGCGGAGACCCTGCCCCTGGGCGTGTCCTCCAGTAGCCCCGCCCCGAGGTTTGTAGCTGAGTCCCGGGAGGCGGCGCCGGCTCTGGCTCCGAGGCCGGTGGAGTGGCCGTGGCAGTGGCTGCTCGGCGGGCTCGGCGCCTCCTCTCCTGCGGCCGGCTTCCTTGCCCGATGCCCACGGCGCCCGGCCGCACCCGGACACACGCGGGCGGCTCAGGGATGGCCCGCGCTTCGCGACGTGGCGGGCGGGCACGGGGGCGCGGGACGACGCGGCCCGAGTGAGCCGGGGCCGCCCGGGATGGCCGTGCCGCCGCTCTGCCGGGTGCTGCTGCTGTGGCAGCTGCTGGCGGCGGGCAGCGCGGCGCTGGAAATCGGCCGCTTCGACCCGGAGCGCGGGCGCGGGCCGGCGCCGTGCCAGGCGGTGGAGATCCCCATGTGCCGCGGCATCGGCTACAACCTAACCCGCATGCCCAACCTGCTGGGCCACACGTCGCAGGGCGAGGCGGCGGCCGAGCTGGCCGAGTTCGCGCCGCTCGTGCAGTACGGCTGCCACAGCCACCTGCGCTTCTTCCTGTGCTCTCTCTACGCGCCCATGTGCACCGACCAGGTCTCGACGCCTATCCCCGCCTGCCGGCCCATGTGCGAGCAGGCGCGCCTGCGCTGCGCGCCCATCATGGAGCAGTTCAACTTCGGCTGGCCGGACTCGCTGGACTGCGCCCGGCTGCCTACGCGCAACGACCCGCACGCGCTCTGCATGGAGGCGCCCGAGAACGCCACGGTCGGCCCCGCAGAGCCCCACAAGGGCCTGGGCATGCTGCCCGTGGCGCCTCGGCCCGCGCGGCCCCCCGGCGATGCTGTCCCGGGCCAGGGTGGTGGCGGCGGTACCTGCGAGAACCCGGAGAAGTTCCAGTACGTGGAGAAGAGTCGCTCGTGCGCGCCACGCTGCGGGCCCGGCATCGAGGTGTTCTGGTCGCGGCGCGACAAGAACTTCGCGCTCGTTTGGATGGCCGTGTGGTCGGCGCTGTGCTTCTTCTCCACAGCCTTCACTGTGCTCACCTTCCTGCTGGAGCCTCAGCGCTTCCAGTACCCCGAGCGCCCCATCATCTTTCTCTCCATGTGCTATAACGTCTACTCGCTGGCCTTTCTCATCCGTGCCGTGGCGGGTGCCCAGAGCGTGGCCTGTGATCAAGAGGCGGGTGTGCTCTACGTGATCCAGGAGGGCCTGGAGAACACGGGCTGCACGCTGGTCTTCCTGCTGCTCTACTATTTCGGCATGGCCAGCTCGCTGTGGTGGGTGGTGCTGACCCTCACCTGGTTCCTGGCGGCTGGCAAGAAATGGGGCCATGAGGCCATTGAGGCCCATGGCAGCTACTTTCACATGGCGGCCTGGGGCCTACCAGCCCTCAAGACCATCGTTATCCTGACCCTGCGCAAGGTGGCCGGGGATGAGCTGACTGGGCTCTGCTACGTGGCCAGCATGGATGAGGCAGCGCTCACTGGCTTTGTGCTGGTGCCCCTCTCCTGCTACCTGGTGCTGGGTACCAGCTTCCTCCTGACTGGCTTTGTGGCCCTCTTCCACATCCGCAAGATCATGAAGACAGGCGGCACCAACACAGAGAAGCTGGAGAAGCTCATGGTCAAGATTGGAGTCTTCTCCATCCTTTACACAGTGCCCGCTACCTGCGTCATCGTCTGCTACGTCTATGAGCGCCTCAACATGGACTTCTGGCGCCTTCGAGCCACAGAGCAACCCTGCTCAGTGGCCACCATACCTGGTGGCCGGAGGGACTGCTCATTGCAAGGAGGCTCAGTGCCCACCGTGGCTGTCTTCATGCTCAAAATCTTCATGTCGCTTGTGGTGGGTATCACCAGCGGCGTTTGGGTATGGAGCTCCAAGACTTTCCAGAGCTGGCAAAGCCTGTGCCACCGCAAGATGGCAGCTGGCCGGGCCCGTGCAAAGGCCTGCCGGGTCCCTGGGGGCTATGGCCGTGGCACCCACTGTCACTATAAGACCCCCACAGTGGTCTTGCACATGACTAAGACAGACCCTTCGCTGGAGAACCCCACACACCTCTAGGGACACAGGCCTGCCCAGGGCGGCTGTTGCCCCTTCCCAGCCCCCCTCTGGAGGAGACAGCTGACTAGCAGCTGCCCAGCTGTCAAGGTCAGGCAAGTGAGTGTGAGGGGACCAGGACCGGGGTGGGGAGCCTCTCCTTCAACCTCGCTTGTCAGGACCCAGTGAGGCCCACTACCTTACAACCTAGTGCAGGGGCTGGGCCTGTCTGAGTCCCCCCAGGGTCGCTGGGAGCTTGTGGAGGGGAGGAGTGGCAGAAGGGGGCGTGGCCCAGCAGGGAGTTTATTTAATGATGTAATTTATTGTTGAGTTTCTCTGGAAGCTGTGACTGAAATAAACCCCATATGACATCGATGAGTCCTCTCTGGGCTGGGAAAGGGGAAGGTAAGAAGGTGAGGGTCCTGCCAGGGTCTCCCTTGTGAGCATAGCTGGGGGTAGGGGCCGGGTCTATCCCCTGGCCCCCGTCCTCTGGCTCCTGCCAATCAGGAGGACATCTTTCCTGGACAGCTGTTATTTTGCAGGAGTCCTAGGATCTGCATGTTTTCCCCTCTCACCTGTCTTTGCTCTTTTCAGCAACCTGTTTGCCTTTCTCTGGGCCTAGTCTCCCTGCTTCTTGAAGTGAGACTGGAATGCCTGCCAGGATACTCAAGGACTGCCCTGGGATAACACCCCCACCTCTGGCCCTGGGGAGTCTAGCCTGTTTAGGGGCTGTGGGTAAGACTGCTTTCCTCATTTATGTAGAAAATGAGGCCATCAGCCTGTCTCAAAGTTTCCCTTAAAGGCTCAGGACCTGCTCCCACTGTCCTGTGGGCCCATCCTACTGTCCCTTTGCTGGGCCTGAGAAAATCGCTGGTGTGTCCACCTCACTCCTTTGGGCCCTAGTCAGGGTACCCCACCCCCTCATCTGTCCAGGTGGAGTGGTGATGGGGCTGAATTGAGTTATGGGCAACTTGGTAGCACCGACAAGGGCATGGTGATGGGGAGCCCTTGAATGTAGTGAGAATTGGGCCCTCAGCTCTTGAAGGGCTGATAAGATTTGAGGTACTGAGAGCAGCAGTGAGAAAGGGATGCACATGGCTCCCCTAAGGCAGCTTGCACATTTGTGTACTGGGGGACGGGGCAAAGTACAGAGTGGATGTGTGTGCCAGGGAAGCCCATGGCTGCTGGGATCTGTACCGTCTCTGTCCATTACAAGGTGTGTGTGGCCATTCTGATGGGGATGACCCCCATCAGCTTGGCGTCAGACACCGGGGCCCCATCTTGTCCTCTGCTTTGGCTACTGTGACTCCAGCCAGGTGAGTTTTGGTTACTGTCCCTGTGTGCATAATACACAGAGCCAGCATTCAGTATCACAGCCTAGAGGCCCTAATGGTCCAGACTCATTTTAGAGCCAAGGGGGGGGGGCCAAGGTGGACTGCTTCAGATCAGAAGTAGGGATGAGCCCCCAAGCTCAGGGTGCCTCAGGTCAGAGCGCTGTCCTGCACTGACCACCAGTCTCACAGGGATATGCCAGAAACCAAACGAAGATCGAACAAGCCATGTCAGAGTCCCAGAACGCTCCGTCAGAGTAGAGGAGAGTTAAGGGCTGTTACTCAGCACAAGGGAGAGTACTGACCTCCAAGGGGGTTTTGCAACTCTCCCACCTCTGCTTATATATTTTGTGCCCATGGAATGTCCTCCCCATCTAAATCCTTCCCTTCTCAGAGCAGTCTTTGACCAACAGAGCCAAGTGACCCTAATAACACCTTGTAAGTCCCAATGAGGTTCCTTGACTGAGAGAGAATGAGCTGATTGAAGGTGATGGGCACAATCTGGGAGTCAGGGGACACTGGATTTACAGGCCAGGTTTGTAGGGAACAGAGGTGAAGCTGCTAAGGGCCTGCACTGAGGCAGGGGCAGCAGAGCAAAAGTAGAGGGTTCTGGAGACTGAGGAAGAGAAAAGCAAGTGATGCTTGCATGGGCAAGGGGAAGGGAGGGTGAGTGCCAAGAGGGCACCAGCTCACCCCTATTCCTTGCCAGTCAGTAGATGGGGGGAGGTGTGGTGCTTGGCTATGTCCTGCTCAACGGAAACAGACTGGCTTCCAGGACAACTGGGATGGGGGGAGGAGGAGGAGTGCAGTCAGGACAGGCCCCAAGGGGGCTATGCCTTGAAGCTGGGCTGGTTCACATGGTCCAGGGCTTGCAGGAAGGATAGGTGGGCCTTACCAGCTAAGGCCTCAGCCCTCGAAGACAACTATAGCAAATTCCAAAACCCAGAGAAAAAGAAAAAGAAAACATTAGAGACCTTTTCCAGAAGTCCTCCATTTGATCCTTTTCCTTTTAACAGACAGGGGAAGTGTGTTTGGAGAGTTTGGCTGGCACAAGATCACAAGGTGGGGTGGGGGGGGACTGCAGGTGTTATAACCCAGGGTGGTTTTGTCCAGAGAAACCACACCCACAGCAGAACCACCCTCTTTCCCCAAAAAGGAAATTCCATAGCCAAACAAAGAGGCTTCAGGAACCAACACCTGCTGGTTTGTGCATTTGTGCACTGTGCCCTCACCCCTTCCACCGGTGGCCCTGGTGGACCTCCAGAACAGTGCTGTCTGCCACAAGCTGAGCCTGTGTGCATGAGAAGGTCCTAGTTAAGGACTTCTCAGCTCTGACCTGTTTTAGTTTCAGAGAACAGTTTAAAGTTCACAGGAGTCAGCAGAGATGATCCTAAGGTCAACTTGACAGACCCCAGTGGAAGTCAGCAGCTGCTCTGTCCCTTCGGGACAACATACCAGAGGCAGTCTTGGGCGTGAGAAAGCCAGAAGGCCCTGGGCAGGGGTGGTGAAGGAAGGGCAACCTTCTTGTCCTACCAGGCTCGGGTTTCTCAATCTCCTGCTAGGGACATCCTGGCTCCCTGGGAAGTTGGACACAGGAGTGTCTTCCCAGTGGAAGAGGCGCTGGCCCGACTGGCTGCTCTGGAATACAGACACCACCTCACTGACACCCCTGACCTCCTCCCCAGAGACAGCATTTGAGAAAGAATAGTAGGCAGGACAAGGAAGAGGCCTCAGTTGATTCTCAGAAGTAATTCTGACCTGTCCTCAGGAAGCAGTCTCCTGTCCCCACCTAAGTAGTCCACCTAAACTAGGTGGTTCCCCCTAGGCCACACCCGAGCAATGGGCTAAGATGGTTGAACAAGATGAGAATACAGACAGACCCTAGATAAGATGACATGGCCCCAGAAGTGCCATCCTACTGTAGCCTAAGAAACCCATATGACAAACAGGACTTCACAGTTGGGGCTGGGAGCCCCAAGTCTGATTGTGTAGAAAATGATCTGAAGTAGCCCAGCTCCCTCCACCAGAGCGTGAGAGTTGCTCAAACTTGTTGACTGACTACTTCCTCCCCTGTAGGACTAAAAATCCTCACCTGCCCAGGGCAGGCCTGGCTCAGAGCCCATACTAACAGGCCACAAAGCATGTTAGTGGCAGAACCCACACCCAGCGCTGAGGTTTTCCTTCTGCTGTCCTGGTTCAGTTGGTTGGGAACTCGGTTTCATGTCGCAGCAAACGGGGTCACCAGTGGCTCTGCAAATCTTTGAATTCCATAGGCAGGTTGCCACCCAGCCAGTGACCTACTCAAATCAACCACTGACTTTATAAAAACTCCCAGCATAAAAGATAGATGAAAGCATAAATAAAACAAGATCAGCTACGTGGCAGAATTGTTGAAGCCAAGTCCATGGGAATTCATTGTATTTTCACTCTCCTTTTGTGTATGTTTGAAATTTTCCTTGAAAACTAGTGTTTTAAATAAATGCCAGGAGTTTCCCCCAAATTAAGTCCTCAAGGACTATCCAACTTCCCATAGTGAAGCCTTAAAAAACACTTTCTCCTAATTCCTAGAAATTTCAGTGAAAAATTCTGGGGTTTTAAACAGAGCCAAGGCCAGGAGAGGTATTTAAAGTTCACACTTTGATTACCCAGTGCATCAGAAATCTCTTCTGGAAGCAAAAAAATGCAGTAGATGGATCTGAACTGTGAGGCAAAAGACATAAGTCAGAGGTCCTATCGCCCTGAAGAACTGGCTGAAGGAGCCTGTGGAGAACCATGCCGGGAGCGCACCACCCACCACCCTGGAGAGCTGGAACAGAGAGTCACCAGAACCGTTTCTTCCTTATAAACACAAGTACATATGTTTATTTGAAATTCCAATTTATTACAAGTTCACCCTTTAATGGGACCCTTCCTCCTTAAAAGACAGTTTAAAAAACAACAAGCAATTTGGGTGTCACTGAAGCAGGAACACATGATTCTCACTGTTAAGAACAGACGGCTCTAGGGTGAGAGGCAGGGGAAGGTGTAGGTGGCTGGGAAGTTGTAGTAATGTCAGTGCTAACACCAGGCCTGTGGGAAAAGGGACAGTAAACCCAGCCAGCAGCCACGGGAGCAAATCCTCACAGTTCCTGGGCAAGGAGGACGGGGAGAGACAGGGACCACACCTTGAGGTTCAATAGTAAGAGGCTTTATTCATTCTCAAGTTCTAGGAGTTGCAATCCCCTTGGTGGACTTCTTTTCCCTTAATTTAAATACGCACAGAAGAGCACAGGTGCTCAAATTTCTAAATTCAAAGTCGATAGAAAAGAAAATTAAACCCTGTTTTACATTTTTATCAAAATCTGCCATAAAAGGAAAAGAAGACTACAAAGTTTACCTAAATGTAACTACTAGCACTAGACTCGCTGTGGGATGGGGCTGTGTGAGCTGCTCTGCCCATCCTTCCTCCTACCCGCCACTGACACAGACCCCTGAAGAATTCAGGTTCTCAGTGAGTTCTAAGTCTGAAGTCAGAACAGACAGGGGAGGAGGTGGAAGAGGCCACCAGGGCAGGCAGAGGGACGCCCCTGCCCCCAGATCCCGCTCCTTGCCCCCTAAGCCTCCAACCCAGCTTCTCTGAGGGAGTGAGGATGGGCTGAGGAAGATGACGGGGCAAAGAAAAAGCAAACACGTCATCATATAAACTGTACTGTACATGTGCCAAAGCAAGATGACAGAAATATTTTACAAGATGTTCTTTATACAATATCACTGCTGAAACAAGCAACTTTAATAACTAGAAAAGTCAATTAAAAAAAAAACATTTAAATTCTTCCTGCTTTTCTTCTGCTCCCCTAAGAGCTTGTTTAGTATGTGGATGGGCTGGGCTCCAACACCCCTCTGACCAGATCATCAAAGCAAAAGTTATATGCATGATTATAAGCAGGACTCCAGTCTCAAAGTGAAGTGCCTTAAGTTTTTTGTTTTCCTGTTTTTGAGGGGAGGGAGTAAGAGAGAGCTGTCACAAAGAAGGGGAGGGGTACTCAGGAATGGCTCCAGGACATGTTCCTTTACTCTGCCAAGACCAATTCAAAAGACCACAACACTGTTTCATGATGCTGGTGAATACAGGGTGCTGTGTGGCACTCACCAATAACGACCCCTGAGGGGGGTGGGGACGACAGAGTAAGGGCTTAAGGAAACAAGACTGTGGATAAAGAGAGGTAAAAAACCACCACCACATCCCCAGTTGGCCTTACTACCCTTATCCTTCTAGGTAATACAGGATCCCTCCCCTGCATGGTGGCCAAAGTGAGAGGGACCTCAGGAAAGAAGAAAGGAAAAGGAACTGGGGTCACAAGAAAAGTCACCCCCTTGACTCTTCCTAGAAACTTTCCTGGAAACGCTCAGAAAGGGGGTGGGGGTTAGGCCATCTACCACCTATAATATTTCTAAGCAAAGACTGCCAACCCAGGCTCTCCAAAGAGCTCTGCTTGATTAAGGCCCCATGAAAAGTTCTGGAAACACAACCTTGGGATGACAGGTGTGACTGGACTCCCTGTGATCTCTTCTCTTCACGTTCTCCATCTTCCTCTCTTGCCTCCCTCCCCTCACCCTCCCGATTCCCCAGCCTCAGCTCCCTTACCAGGGCCCTGCCTCTCTATTTCTTCTGTCTTCGTCCCCTGGACTGTCCAACAGGCTCCAGCTCACTGTCCCCTTCATCTTCAGCAAGCCGATCAGGAAACTTCTTGCGTTTCCTACGGACATATGGGTGGCCAGGCAGGTGTTTATGCAACAGAGCCACCAGACACTGTTCTGTCTTCACCATGCAGTTTAGCACATGGCTGCCTCGGCAGTTGTAAAGCTCAGCATTGGTAAACACTTGCTTAATGTCGGTAAGAAACTCCTGCACAGAGCGGTAGCTCCCACAGGAACATTTGTTCTGCACTGTCTGGAAGTCCATGGGGTGGGTAATAACCTCATAGTAGTCCTCAGCCTCATCTCTGGTCACGGGCTCCCTGTGGGGATATTGGCACAGCCTTGAAAACAACTGACAGAAGTCTTGTTATCAAACCACCCATACCAGAATGCCCACCCCTGCTGAGATCAGCCCACTGGCAAGCCTAGTGAAGGTGTGTCCACCTTACATTAAGAGCTGTCTCCACCAGTTTGGGAAACTAATTACCCTGCTACTGAGACATGGCATGTCCTGAAAGGAAGGGGTCAGGGTAGCTCCTAGGGGTTTAGCTTAGTGTTCCCTCAGCCAGTTGCCTTACTAGGATGCTTTTAAAACCTACCAGATTGGTCCTACTCCCCTATGCTTTAGGACACAAAGCTCACCTGAAGGGCCAGCTGAAGCGGTACTTC